ACTTTCATTATCGCAAAAATTGAAACAAAAAACCGTCGCTCTGAGTTAATGACCGCAGATGAAGTTAACAATTGGGTTTCATCTATCCCGTCAATACCAACCTACAAAAGATATTGATCGCTTTTTAAATCACAAATCTTTTATTTAAGTTTTATACCCTACACAAGTGTGGTAAGTTCGTTCGGATGTATGTACAACGTGTAGAAAGGCTTAAGATAAACCCAACTTTTGTTATGTCAATCAATTGATCATCACCTCGGATGAATTCCCTGTGACGTCTGGCGTAGCAGCCATTTAGGTCCCATTTCATTTAGTTTATACATTAATGATCTCCCATCGATGATTAATTCCAGTCAGATCTTAATGTACGTTGATGATGTGAAACTGTTTTCTTCCTTCTCTCTAGTATCGCAATCACATCACCTTCCAAGTTGTATGGTGCTCTTTGAATCTTCTGAAACTAAATCTAAATAAATGTAAGAAGCTTTCTTTCTCAAGAAGAAAGTCATTAATTACTCAGTATTTCATTGATTCGCATAAGTTGGAGGACGTCGATACGTTCACAAATTTAGGCGTTCTATTTGACCATAGGTTACGTTTTAACTTGCGCATTGAGCTCGCGTTAAGCGAAGCTAGGTCCGCGCTTGGTTTTATAAAGAGGTGGTCCAAAGAGCTTGATGATCCCTATATTGCGAAGAGGCTTTACATGTGTTTGGTTAGAACTATAATTGAGTATGCCTCTGTTGTTTGGTGCCGTTCATATAGGTGCTACGTAGATTCAAGTGAATCTGTTCAAAAGCAATTCTTGCTGTTTGGGTTGGGATCCGATTGCCTCCCTTCCCCCCGATGAAAATAGGTTGCTTCTGTTGTCCTTACCGTCTCTCAAAGACCGTAGATTTGTTCTTGGCGTTTCCTTTGTAATCAAAGTAATAAATGGTGCTATTGACTCACCTGCATTACTTGGTGAGTGTCCCCAACCGCTTTTCTAGGCAGTTCATCTTGGTTAAGCTTAGCCAATGTAAATATAATTATGAGCTGCTTAGCCCGCTCAGAGTTGTTGCAAGAACCTAAATGACGTCTATCATTTATTCTCATTATCGGACTTTTTAACCCCCATTACAGCAACATTGCTTACTGCCCGTAATTTACCTATATCGTAGTTAAACTAGCTCTTAACCTTACAATGTCAGGACGAAAATGAATTGTTGTTAACTATTATCGGTTGCCAAATTTATGCATGTTTGCGATGGCTTGGTAAACTCATGTTTAATCGCAATTTGGTCCACGTGTGTTCGTGCTTTTTTTTTCTTGTTTTTCTTTTTTTTCCTTCTTATTTGTTTTATTGTACTTATACTAAGTTTTAATATTAATTCATTTAAGACTTACTTTAAGAGTCAATTGAACTCGACTGTAACCGTAGAAATAGTGCAAATCAATTTGGACTTTACAGATTGCTCTTCGGATCTCTTTCCACACATAAGATTTTTCATGGCAAAACAAGTCTTTCTAGTGCAATAATGTTTATTGTTTGGGATTTTATAACGAACAGATATGAAGAATTGCATTAGGCGAAGCTGTATGGGATAGCTAATTGTCGGGTCGTGTTCGACTATAACTCAAGTTTGTTACAACTCTTTAAAATTTCTGTCACATCTTTAAAATTTCTGTGTTTGTATTGATGTCTTCGATTTCCAAAGATTTATGGGAACCAGAAACTAAACGTAAGGTCTCGCTCTCTGAATTATCACTTGCAAACGAGGCCGTCTAAAATTAGTTAAATGGTTTGATACTTTACAATAGTTAAATAAATGTTATTTCCGGACTCCCCCAAGGTGAACACAACTTTTTCTGAGTCTCTTAATTTAAAATTAAAATTAATTTTTTTTTTTTTTATTATATTTTTCTTTACTCTTTTTTTTATTCTCTTTTTGCATATAATTTATTCTAGTCTTTCTTTGATCAAAAAAAAAGAAAAAAAGATGAAAACGGCAAAATTATTCTTATGAGATATTTTTGTTTTGTTTGGTCTTGCTTTGTGTTTGCAAACAGAAAACCATTGTATTCGTTTCCTACAAACAAACTACCGTTGCTTGACTATATAGAGCCATACATGCCTACTTACATACATGTATCTTTTTCATAAACGAATATGTACGTATGTATGGTATGCCGGCATTATAGTTAAATTTATGTTTTGCTGTTAGTACTCAAGAAATAATGTGTATTTGGCTTATGGCCAAGGCGGACACATGGCGTAGCAATAAACATGGAAACTTCAAGAAAGACCATAAAAGCACACCAACTTTAACAAGAACCGATAGAGACATAATTATAAATAAATATAAGTTAAAGTAAAAAATAAGCAGATACACGCTGGCGACCGAAGCGAGTTTCGCAAAACGATATAATAAGACACGAACTTGGAAATATAAAAATTAATGTAATGCGGAACTCAAAAGTAGAGAAGGAGCAAAAAGAAGCTCAAACATTGCATTTAACTGTTAATACCTTAAATTTTTTTATTTTTTATTTAAATTTCTTGTTGAAGAATAGGCTGAAGAATCGGAGAGAAGAACTTTTAAATTAATTGAAGAGATTTAAACTAAAGCTATAGGCAGCTAAAGTCTATCCGCATATATATTCCAACTCGTGAGTCACCCTTTACCTTAGACCACTCTACGGCTACTCATGGAATGACTTTTCAAGATAAACTCTTATATGGGAAATAGTCGAAAATATGGCCCGGTTCGAACCGATAGCTCCCGTTCTTGGGCCAGAACAAGTCACTCTAAAAAATTTCTTCAAAATATCTTAAACGTTGCGGTTTGGAGGTTGAACATAAGACGGACAGACGGACAGATGGACAGCTAATCACACGTTTCAATAAAAATTCAAATCTATTCTTTGATCTTAGCCATAGGCGCGCGAACCAGCCTACCATTTATCCTAGTACGCAGTGTTGGTAAGGGAACGGATGGTGAACAGAAGGACATACAAAAAACGCTTAAATCGATTCAAAACTTTGAATAACCGTTATAGGGTCTAAAACAAAAGAACACAAAGCTATCTTTCAACTAACATGCCCCACGTCCTCTTTCGCTTTTAAGTACTTTACTGTTTAGATGCTTCTTCTTAATCTTCATTGTAAAAATGTACGTAGAATAACATAAATCTTTTTTACATCCTTTAGTGCATTTCCAACACATTGTTCGATAGACGGGCAACAAGACAGTGAACAAATCTTTACCACAATGCTTTAATCCTACCATACGAAGTCACTAACATTTTTTTTCTTGCTTTATTTATTTATTTATTTATTTTTTTTTTTTTTTTTTGATTTTAACCCGACCAGTGCGAATTAACACATTATTGCTTATAGCTCTTATAGCTCTTTTTTTATTTTTACTTTTTTTGCCATATTTATACTTCCTGGAAATCAAGAAGTTGTTAGTGAGTAATAATAAACACAAGTTTTTTCTATTTTCATGAAGAAAACTAATCTTAAGACTTGTTTAAAGATCTTAAAAAGTTCTGTTTTACTGCCCTAAACATCTAAAACAGTTTTATATGTATGCTATGAGCGCTTCTTCAAGGCATCAACGTGTAATGATCGCCATTGTTTTGCTCATTAACACACTTGCTGCTGCGATGAGCATATTTTGAATCCGTTTGTGTTTTTTTTTTTTTTTTGGATTTAAGCAAAATGTTTATGCTTAACTTAGTGTGACGACAACCGGTTGCCGCTACTTAAGACAAGTGTTTGTTGTTCTATGGAAGAGTAGAATTTAATCAACAATATATGTATAATTAAATTCATTTATTTTTTTAAATAATAAAAATCACGTCATATATATTTTGTGTTATTCAAACCAACAAAACAAAAGATTTAAACAAGAAAATTTGAGAAAAAAAACTAATAAAAAACTAATTAAAATATTATACTCATGCATTACGCACTACCCTGCCTAGTACAATATCTTCATTTATTTTCTTCATTAAATACGAAAAGTGGCAGCTCGCTTTTACATAAACATCTAGCTCTACTTATCATAATAATCCTTACAAAGCGAAATGTCCAAGAAATGGACCTATGTAGTCCAAATCTAGCAAAGCAAATTTTTAAGTGAAATCAATATCTTGTACCAATTTTTATCGTAAAGCACTACGAGTTCCTCTCTATTCCTACATGAAGGCTAATTTTTCGTGAGAATAGTTTTATGAGAAGAGGTCCACAAAATAGATCTATGCGTATCGGACTTAGCGCAGCAAATTTTAATGTCACATCATTATGTTGCAGCAACTTTCCTTATAAAGTATTAAAAATAACATTTTATTGCCATATAAAACTTTTGTTTGCAAGAAAGTTTGTGCAGCAAAGAATTCTAGCAATAGCTCGACCCCTCTTCCAAATTTTGCATTCTTATATACGCTAATAGACTATTTTTCTTAGCTTTTTTATAGAAGTAGTAAAGATTAAAAACGTTGTTCATATAACGAGTTTTCCATGGCATGTCCTTATAGGCTCAGCGATCCCCTCCAATGCACTTTGAACAGCGTTTGTCCTTGGGCTAGAATATGTCAGGATACATAAACTTTATCAAAATATTTCTGGTGAAGCATAGAACGTAAGAGCGTAATATAAGATGGACAGAGGCACAGACATGCTTAAGCGAATTCAAAAAACGATGCTAAATCATAAGCTATAATAAAATTTGTACCTTTTTCAAGCTTTCTTCTCTCATTTGGGCACTTATCGGCACAAATCATGTCGAGTATGAAAATCAAATGGTCTTTTAACACCGATCGTTTGCTCAGCTTTGTTCTTGGCGTCTAGGAAAATGAGATATGTTCATCTCGACTTATTCCCATCCAGCTTAAGTGATAAATTTTAATAACGGTGCTTTGATTTTTTCGGCTTGTCGTAACAAAACTTGTGAAGAGCGCATTATATAAAATAAATCTAAGAAGAAAATTTTGTTTGATTTTCATTTATTTTACAGGATGACGGTGGTATTGAGTTTTTCAATACAATAGTTTTGCAGCCACATTTAAAATTGATAACCGATGCTGGTCGTGGTTACCATGTACGATGCTCCTACAAAAGTCGTGACGCTGCCATGAATGCAAATAAATACCATAATCATCATAAAAAAACCGAAAGCAAATATGCGCAGAAACCGCAAGCATATCGCAGTGCTGAAGCTGATCTGACAGATAGAAGAAATTATGGCAGATCTTTGGATAAATATCAAGTCAATGGTGGTATTCTGGATGAAGATGATACCTTCAATGATGCCGAGGATAGTGCTGACAGTCAAAATGAGGAAGAAGATGAAGGTAGTGAAAATGAGATACCAATGCCTGGCTGTCACATGAAAATTTACAATTCGGAGCATAAAATAGCTAATGATGTAAGAATTGGTGATCCTTTGACAATTGTGGTGAATATTGATAAACAAGACTTATACGGTCTACATGTAACCGATTGCATTGTACGCGATGGATTAGGTTGGGGTGAACAACGTCTAGTTGGAGAGGATGGGTAAGCAAATAATTGCTTTCTACTAAAGCTTTTCTGGATCGTTAGGTATGAAGAATATCTTCTTCTTTAGATGTCCTATGGATAATGAAATAATGGGTCAATTTAATTATACGAACGATCGTTTAGCAGCTAATGTTACTTTTCCGGCTCATAAATTCCCTTACACTACGTCAGTATACTATCAGTGTAATGTGAAATTATGTGATGTAAAAGATCCCGAATGCCAAATGGTAAGAAAGTTGCAAAAAAGTTTTTGTTATTACTTGTCACAATGCCATTACCCATTTAGGCACCACTGTGTGGCGGCAAAAGGCCCAAACGCCAAACTACTAATGATACGAGAGACGAAGATGGTATGCCTGCCACGATTGAAGTATTTTCCGGTCTGTATGTTAACGAAAATGTCGAAGTTAACGAAGGTGATGATGATTCGGTCTTTAAAGAGAAGGTAACTTATAGATGGGGCTTTTATAAGAGTACATATCGTTTTTTAATTTATCCCCTTTTCAGCAGACTCTAGAGGATGCCTTGTGCGTTTCGCAACGCACTTTTGCCATAGCCATAGCTATAGCTGGTCTTATACTAATGCTAGCGGTAGTAGCGGCAGTTTTATGCATCATGGCCAAACGTAGCACTAAAGCTGTATCACATTCCGGCAGCTCGATCTACAGCGGACCTTATACAAATACTGCTTTTTCGCATAGCAGCTAAATTATGAAGCGTCACTGGCTCAACCGAGACGCCCAAAAACACTTGAAGTGTTTCAAAAACAAAAAAAAAGTCAAATTATTAGTTAGAAAAGCCTCGAGTAAGCTGTTCGTATTGAAAAGAAGAAAGAGATATTATATGAGAAAAATGATGTAATTTTTTTTTTTTTTAAAGTCGACTTTTCCTTCAAAATGAGAGGATCTTGATATTGATTCCACTGAGTTCAACTCGGTTGTATTTAGTTATAAGGAAGCGTATCGAAACGAAAAAATTACATTTACTATTAGACTTAAGCTGGCCAAAGATATTAAAGGGTTATAATTTATATGTATGTGTATATATACATATATATATATGTATATATATGTATGTATTAATTTAACTTAAAGTTTATATGCTTAACCCTCTAATATCGCAGAGATTTTAAGGGTAAACCTCGAAAAGGAAAAAAATCTCTGTTTTTAATATTATATGCATATATATATATATATAAATTAATTCAATTCCTAAACAAACGGTGTGGGTTTAGTTTTTATCTTTATATTTATATTTATGTTTTTTTTTGTTTTTCTTCACTACAGTTGGCTACTTTTTCTTTCGATCAAGTTACCGCGAAAGTAATTGAATCCTTTTGTTATACCCATCACCGTAGTTAAAACGTTTGCAAAACTTTGAAGAAAGTCTAAGAAACTCCTTAAGTATATATAGTCTTGATCAGCATCAAATTCTAAACCGATTTAAACATGTCCGTCTGTCTGTCTGCCATCTAGCAAACATTCCCCTGATCGCAACAATGCAGTAACAGCCTTCACATTTTGCGTGACGAGTGAAAACCCTTGCAGACGAATTTTTGTTGGTATTTAGCCAAATCCATCCAAGGACACGAACACAGTACAACATAGTGTGACACATAACCTCTACTTCCAACAATAGAAAAAGTGACATTTTTGCTCGTTACTTATAAACCACAACTGATACGAGCATAATTTGTATCTATATTGTACGGGCTGTTCTGCAGCATCAGTGCAAAAATGGATAAAAGTTGGTCACGCGTACTCAAGTTTATAAATAACTGAAATGTGATTCTTTTATTAAAAGGTTGCAATACCCAGAAAGAGACTTCAGAGACCTTATAAAGTCTACATATTATCGATTCGCATCAAGTGTGCACTGTTCTAAATATATTCTCCAGTCTGGCTATCTCTCTGTTAATGTCTGAGGTAAGTGCAAAGGAAACCCGTAAAGAGATCCCATAAAGTATATATATTCTCGATTAACATCAAATTCGGAGTTAATTTAAACATGGCCGCCTATGTGTTTGGTTGCGCGATGCTTGTGGTAAACATTCCAAAGGCGGAAAAGTGAGGATATCTGCTTTAAATTTGGCAAAAGCATTCAAAGCCGTTGGACGTAGGTTGATATTCCAAATGGAACAAATGGGTGAAAGGATTATATTGTAGAGTGGAGGACATCCTAGGTTTGTGGGTTTTTTGGCAAATAAACTACAATAGACACACGATATAAATTTACCGTTTTCCATGTGCTACAAAAATAGGAAGATCGTCCACACCTACTCAATATTATAGAAAATTAAAATTTGATTATTTCATCCAGACGTGAGCAGCGTTCAGGGAGGACCTTCAAGGACTGTTCAAAGTCTACATATTATTGATTAGTATCAAATGTGATACGATCGTCTGTCCATCTGTCTGATAATTTCTGTGGTACTCATGATCGCAAAAATGGAGATATCTGCTTTGAATTTCCTCGAAAAGATTAGAAGTAGTAGATCAAATCGGCAAAGGGACTCGCCCGAGCACAAGTCCTTTTACTGATACCGGATACATTCTGGCTTTCTGGGCCACGATATAAAATTCCATTTTTATATAACAAAAATAGAAAAAAATCAGCCACGCCCACGCAATATTACAGAGTAATCCCCTTTTTTAGTCTCCTTTTTGGATAACGGTGATGAGTATAAAGGATTCGGTCGCGAACGGATTTAATTTTCTTACTTGTTTTTTTTTTTTTTACTTTTCATAATTTATTTATATTTTGTTAGCAGCTAACTTCTCAGGTTGTAGTCTTTGTAAGTATAAAAGAAACAAAAGGTAATAACAAATTTTTGATCTTTGGCTCTTCGAATTTAAGGATAGAACTTGAAAAACGTCAACATTTTACTTTAAGTAGCCAAAGTTTAAATACTTCAGCAAACTTGTCATTTAATTTTGTGAATCTAAACGAACTAAGTTTTACTTATCACTTTAATAATTTAAAAATAATTTAGTTAAGTAATTATTTTCTTTTCTTAGAAGATAACTTGCAAAGCCAACCCTTATCTAAACGTCCGATAAAAATTTCGTTTTCTTTAATGCATAATTAACAATAAAAATATTTGTATTTTAAGATTTTTTTTTTCTTTAATTATCTAAATCAAGCGGCTTGGCTTCAATAAATCATTCAGTTATTCGAACTAAAAAAGTTTTGAAATATGAAACGATCTACTGAAGCTTAACTGTTTGCTATGACTAAACTATAAGTTAAAATATTTTATTTACTCAATGATATATATTAAACATAATAACAATAATAATAAACAATAAATTTTTTTTCCAACAAAATTACCTAAGGACAAAGAATTAGAAAAAATAAAAAACAACAACACATTGGACAGCTTAACAAAGCGGTGCTTAAATACCCATCAAAACGTTATATGACCCCTCACTCATTCATTCAATCGAAAATGTGTTATTGTTAAATTGAAAAAACCTTGCATTTCAATCATGACGTCATTTTTTTACTTTTAGATTTTTTTTTAATTAGTTATGCGAATATGACAATTTAAATCTGAATAATAAATATATAAAAAATAAATTAATATCTTTTTAGTTTTATTCTGATGATCACATTAAAATTGGACGAAGAATTTAACGGTCGCATTAAATGTATTTCAATACATTTGATTTACTTATAACCGTAACTAGTTTCGGCTGCATTCCAAGTCAGGAAAGCCATTGCGATTGTTTTCCTACTTGTTATCGGAAATTTTCATTAATCGAAAAGGAGAAGAGATCAATACAACCTATTATATACGCCGACAATACCCAAACATTAATGGAATGCATTGACTTGGCTTTTCAACACAAAGGCTTAGCTTTAAATTATCAATCTGAAAGTCTTGTTAAAAGATCGCTAAAGGGTGAGTACATTGCTCTTTAGTTGACCTGTCAGGCACAAAGTAAATTTAAGAAATTTGTACTGGACCACGGCTCAGTACTAAATAACCTATACCACCTTACAGTTGTTCATCTACGACTTTTCAAATTAAGACATTATATAGGAGAAGTGGGCCGATACAAACCACTTTTGAATAGCGTTTGTAAATGGGCCACAACACATTATTCGTGCCACTACTATGCTTTTCGCATTCTACTCTTCAAGTTCTTTTATATGAAAATGGAGGTGCGTTCAGTTTAAGCTACAGTGCTGGCTTCTTCACCAATCAATTTAGCCCATTTTCAATAACAACGTGCATGCAATTTCTTCCAGGGTTTCTGCCCGTTTTGAAGTCGATATCTTCATTTTTGCGACAGGCAAAGTGCCAACAACAAACACCAAACAAACACATAGATACACAGACAGACAGACGTGGCTAAATCAAGTCGGAATATATATACTTTATAGAGTTTCTGAAGCTTCTTTTCGGATAAAGAGAAAATGAGTACACCCACATCTTACAGTGGTGGATATAAAAATAAGAAAAAAATCACTTAACCTACGTTACTGTGTACAAAAATATGTAGGTCTTCGTAGTTGGCGAGTATAGAAGAAGACTTTCTTTAATTAATGAACAAGCAAAAGCACTATAGAAAGCCTTGGCCCACCATTTAAATATTTTACACGATCCCACAATTATTTACATATACAGTGAAATTATATCCACCGTTCGTCCTTGAACAAGAAACATGTCAGTGTAGTAAATCAGCCCTGTAGATTGAAGATGGACTGACGGACAGACAAGCTTATAAAATGATTGTGCACCGAGCAGTATTAAAAAAAGGGATTAAGTTAACCGCAAGTGGAGTAAAATTAGTTGAGTAAGCTCCTCCTACACTTCTTTCCTTCCTTCCAATGTGTTGATGATTGAAACAAAAATTCAGTTTTTTTAAGGTAATTTTTTAACATTAAGGATTCCTTTCTTAATCGTTTTAATACAGTTGCAAGGAACTTTACATGGAATCTGCAAAGTCATTGGCAATTAGTGCATTTGTATTTCAATTGTCATGTCTTACAGTGTCCGGAGAATGTGACAATGGGCACGCTCGTCCGTGACATAAATTTCAATTATTTTTCATTATATCAACAGCCGATAGGTAAAGAAACAAAGCTAAAAATGTTAAAACTTGATAAACAAAAAACTTTAATTTCTATATAGTTGCCACTAATTATATTTGTGTACCCGAGATTGGTGTCTTCATTCTTAATACGGATCCAGTAGGTTTTCGTAATGCTTCTTTAAATTGTTTTCATACGACAGCAGAATCCTGTGTCTCTTTGGCTCATGTGGCTTCCGAAAAGCGCACAAAATTCTTAAGTAAATTACTTAAGGAGCATAATCAACAACATTTTCAACAAAATAATAATAGAACCGAGAGAGTCCATTTAGCTTATGTGGATTTACAATATAATCGTACTCGCTCGCCAAATAAAATGGAATTTTTCAATTCAATGGGCGAAAGCTTAGACAGAATTCCATATCGTGCATGGGAACCAGGAAGTCCGAAAGCAAGGTAAAATTTGTAAAGTAAAGGAAGGGTGATCCATTAAATTTTATAAAAAAAAAAATTTCTAATTTTAGTTTACAATTGATCAACGCTAGTTGTGTGGCCTTGACTATTCGCTCTACCTGGCTAACTGTTGATTGTCAACGCAAATTGCCGTACATTTGCGAGATTTTTACTTCCTCTCGTAACAACTAAGAGAAAGAAATTTAAAAAAAAAAATGCAATCTAATCCAACTAACTAGTAGGGTAGACATTCAACCACATGCATACTTACTTTTGTTTTTTCATAATGCAAAGAAATAAAATTAACAGAGCATAAGTAAACTATCCCTCTTAATCACATTACACATTACATTGCCAGAGGTAATCGAAAACAAGCAGTTTGGATAAAATAGGTCTACTTTTTACACCTTAACATATAAAAGGGTTATTACGAAAAGCAAGCCCTGCTCATATGAAAATAAAGTATAATTTCTAGTTTTCTACGACAGCAAGTGAAAAATAATAGAATTTTTAGAAAGGAAATTGAGTTTGCGACACTTTTTATCCACATCATGTGATGTATTGACCATTTTACGAGGATCTTCTTCGGAATTATGATTTTGCATGAAAATGATGTGTGATTTTTTACGAATTAATACCAAAACGAGCGATTAATTGTATCAGGCAAAGTGGTATGAGGCGTCTAATGCTCAGCCTTCCCCAATTATAACGTTCTTAGTTGTTTTGATTTATGTTATATCTGAGTTTAAAATATTTTGTGCACGGTACGAACTATCAGTGCTTTTTCGACGTGACTTAAAAAACGAAAGGACAAAAAACATGAGAGTGCCTGGATAAGCAATTCCTAAGCACGTGTTTCCCCAAAATCCAAAAATAAGCGATAAAATAAGAGATAAACAACATCGCAAACATAAACGAAACGTTTAATTGATTAAAACGATGAAAACTATTTTTTTCATTATTTTCATCTTTATATATTAATTTTCAATTTTCTCTGTATATTTATTCACCTTCTTTTCTGTAAACAACGTGCAAAAGAGTTACAAAGTTGATATAAATCAAAGGTAAAATATAAGTTGAAATGAATGATTCTGTTCGCTTTTAAAAATTGTCTTTTAACGTTAAGTGATAAAATTTCATTCATAAATTCGTGACCTCTAAGTGTACAAAACTACTCCAAGATGCAAACCATTCGTCCGCAGCTTTCATGGTATTTACGAACTCCTTGGAATCAAAAACACACCTCTGGAATTTTCATATTCTAACGCTGTCCTTGAAATGAAATATTGAAAACCTTGAAATTAAGAGACGAAAAGAAAATGCCAAAATAGGTCGAAAAATTGCACAAAAAAATTCTAATTCCAACAACAACAACAAACAACAGCCAGTTAAACATGCAGGAAATTATAATTGAATTTTGATAAAACTATAAAGAAGAACGGAGAATAGAGTTAGGTGATTGTACAAATTGAACTCTTTGAATTATTCTCAATGGTAAACAAATTCAGACGCTTGCTCTCAGATGTGACCAAATTCAGATGCATGATTCCCTTCAAGTCCCATCAAACGCAAAGCAACACTTCAATTTCGTTCACTTGTAATTTGGGTCTCTGCTGGTTGTGGCTGCGCCTCTGTCCTAGTTGGGTACAAGCTTTTTTTTTATTTTTTACTCTTTGATTTATTTATGCATGAATTATTATTTTCTTTATTTTTTTCCTTTACTTCTTCTTATACACTTGATACTAGATTTTAATACTAATAAGATTTACTTCCAAGAGTCTATTGAACTCGATTTTTCATTTATTTTAGTTGCGTTTCACGTGTAAATAAATAAAAAATTAATAAATAAATGAATAAATAAAAAGCAGTCTATGTTCTTTTTCAAATTATCTGTTCTAAGCGAAGAATCGAGTGCCCACAAATTATGTATATTCTTAATCAAAATCAAATTCTAAGCCGATTGAAGCATGTCCGTCTGTTTTTCTGTCTGTCTGTCTGCCGGAGTAATGTCTTTGGTAAAAATTCCCGTGATCGCAAAAAAAAAGCCATCAAATCAACAAAATTAGATGTTCTTGCACACAGGTTGGTATTAAAATTGGATCCGATCGGCGGAAGAATTCTGCCACAATACAATATAATCTGAAGCCATTTCTGTTTTCAAAAAATAAAATGATTCCTGCTCCTTACTCGCGTATGCTTGTTTTTTAATCTAAAAAGAGATAAAAAAAAAGTGGATAAATTATACATAATAATAAGTAAGGATAAACAGCGAATTTTTTTGTATTTGAGGCGATGGGCGGCATTTAATCTTTTTATCTAAAAATAAACACAAATAACGATGTCAATAAGGAATTTAATTATATATTTGCAAAATATTTGAATTAACTTTACTTTACTGCTTTTGGGGTCCTATTTCCCTTATTTCATATTTATTCCCTAGCATACCATAAGTAATCTCCCAACCTTGAGATTTTGCTACTCCTACTACTATTTAAATCCTTCAATTAACTTCTAATTACTTTAATTTTTCGTGCAACTGTTTGTTCCGTCACTAACCGCCCCGTTGTCTCCGTCAGCCTAGCTGCCAGTCTTTTGTATTCTAACATGCAAGTCCTACCTCCTCAACAACTGACTAAAAATTTTGTTTGCTATGATGGCCATATATACTTAAATTAAATAAATTAAAACAATAAATAATAATAAATACGTATAAAATATATATATGTAATAACCTGAAAATGTTTGAAAAAAAAAAATAAACCAATTAAAAATAAATAATTGTCTATTTAAAAATTAAATATAGGACCATCTTTCGAAATCTTATCACCTACGCAGATTTAACAGCAGTAGATCGAAGATATGAAACTTTATTGTTTTATAAGGTAAACGAAACATTCTCTTTTCATAAATCAAAGGTTTCCCTACAGTTGCCTTAAATAAACCCCCCCAAAAAAAAAAGAACGAAATAAACGGCGTGGGTACAAGCTCAGCCAGTAAACGAGGGAATGTCATTGTTTTTGAGGGATGTGATCGCTCTGGCAAATAATCGTCTACTGGATGAGTTTCTCCAGATCGCGGTCAAACGATTTCAGGAACGTAAATCAAATATATTGTTCAAATGCTTATCTTACTAATAAAAAACAGCTATCCGACGGAGCTATTCATCTCTCTCACAGCAAATCCTTGAGAATACATACACACAAAGCGAACGATTAAAAAAAGGCACAATATTTCAATGCATTTTTTATTAATAACGAACAATTTTCTAATTACGATTTATATGAGTTAATTATTAATACAAGCTTTATAAGAAACCTAATCCACTTGAATATATATACAAATGTATATATTTACACCCTGTAAACTTTAAATGAACACAAGATATTTTTAGACAAATGAATAAAATTTTTAGACTAATGAATTAAATTTTTAGACTAAAAGAAACGATCAAGATGATACAACATCATGCCTGGCAACGCTATTAACCTAGCTGCAAATGGCTACTACTACTACTTCTTCTATGCACAAATGTACAACCAACAACAAATTTAAAAGTAATTCACTTTGATTTCGTGCTTGTCTGCATGTAACATGAGTAACATGAGTATCTCAGTAGAGATTTAGTTATTATAATTTAATTAGAATAACGCAAGGGATTTCTGGCCTTAAGTGGTAATATGAAAGAGAAAAAAAGGAAAGGAATATGAGTATATCAATAAAAATTGCTTCAATAAATATGAAAAAATATGAAAATAATGCAAAATATTTACTATATACGTATGCACATGTGTCTGTACAATTTTTTCCACAAACAATGTGCAGGGTATTTACTTAAACGTTACTTTTTTGTCTGCAAACTACAAACACAATATGGAGTACCTTCTTGTTTGTATGCGTCCAATATTACAAATGGAAAGCAAGAAAAAATTTGGCTAAATGCAATGTTAAGCTTTATGTCAAATTATTATAATGAACGAATTTTCGCCAAAAGATATTGAAAACTACCTCTTCTTATCATGTAAAGATTCAGTTTCCATACGGATGGGTTCAAAAACATCTCCACCCGATCTTGAATTTTTATATCATTTTAGAAAAGATTATAATATTGTTTCTTATGATTTGTCAAAATAAGATGCTATGTGGAAGATGATCGAGAGAGCGGTCCGATTTGATTACAAGAATACCTGAACAGATGAATTAAAATCTCTGCCTGATGTTGATTCCAGTAGTATAAGATCATGGATACAATTTAAGAATGCTGAAGGTTGGTTGTTTATTTTTGGCTAAAAATCCGGTAGTCGTAGGATGCCCAGTGGCGGTTACATTTAATTTCACTCAACGCGGAAAGCACCCGTTTAAGAATCAATTTATTGGTATTCGATACAGATCATATGGAGGTGGCCGTAGATGAAAACTAACTAAATTGTTTCTTACATTAAAATAATAAATTAATTATTCATTATTAAAAAACTAAACAAAAAGATCAACATTTTTTTGTTTTAATTACGTTCTTTATGGTAAGGGTATAGAAAGTTTGTTTGGATATATGCAAGAACGATATGAAGTTGAGAAAGAATCACTTTTGTCATGCCAAGCAATTCAGAATGATTTTCTGAATAGACTGTCTTAATATATATTAATTTTTCATTAATTTTGCGCCACTGGGTCTAGTGAGTGTTTGTCCGTGTGTCAGTTTTATTTTCTTGTATTCAATCTCGGTACAATTTGAGGTGGGTCTCTCAAAAGTTCCTCTGGGTGTTACGACCGTCCACATAAACTCAGTATACTCTGCACCATGAATGGTGAACAAAAAGAAACTTGCAGAAAGATGACAAGATGAGGTTGTTTTCTAAATCTCTTATTAATAACTATTCATTTCACTCAGTTTACATTTTGGTACGTTTCGCCTGTTTAATCGTACTATTGTCTGCACTGGTTCGATTATCCAATAATTTCGATGCTATTTCTGAAATAATAACGATGCTAGATCATCTTTTTCCACTTTGTAGCCTTGTTTCGGTCTGACTTTATTTTCACGCGCCTGTTTAATGCGTTCCTGTTTAGTTTTCTTTTTTTCATTTTTCACTCGCTGCCTATGAGTTTCAGATTGTTCTCTTATCTTTTTGAGGGAACGCATATGCAGTGGCACCAACAAACGCATCTACTTCTTCTGCGATGATATGAATTTTTTGCCCACTTGCAGCTTGAGATTTTTCCCATTTGTTTACATGTTTTTTTAATTTGTCGTTATCATCACTTTGCAGACTATTAGGACCTGTTTTCAAAAACGATTTTTTGCTTAACTCTCCATGCTCAATTCTCGTTACAGCTTAAACGTTGCCCATGAATGTCTTTGATAAATACAATTGTACATCTAAAAAGTTCTTCCTGCATTCCATAACATTCATATCAGGATTACATTCCATATTATACAATATGATTTTGAAGGTTCGTCTAATGTAATAGAGGTTAAAGGCCTGGATTATTGCTTGGCCCATAGATTGAAGCAAAGCCGTCGTGTTGGGAGGTAAAAATGTGACTTTTATATTTGGATGCATAGTTTCAAGTTCGCGAGGATGATCTGGTGCATTGTCCAAAACTAGAATTATATTGGTAAAATATTTACACGATTAAATAATATTGTAGTTAAATCTTTTTTATTCACTTTAATAAATAGATATATATTAGAATTAGAATTTTATTTAATAATTTTTGATAAGTTTACTTTAATCTTTTGTAATTTTTCAATTTATTTCAATGTTTGTTGGAGAGCTTGCGAATTGGTTTTAATTTCACAAAAAGACGTTAGCTGATTTTTTACATTAATGGGTTCTACAAACAGAAAATATCAGTTGCGAGAAATCGTTGCCAAATAAAAGTTGAACGTTGTATAGCAATGCTTTTACTGTGTTTTTCAAGACATGTGTTAAGCAAGAGAATTATGTGAAATTAGCGCAAACTAACTAACTTATGTATCGTAAAACTAGTTTTTTGTTTACATAAAGTGCAGAAGAATTTTAATATGGCACTTTCGTAATTTAAAAAAATACTCGTGTCAGTATTTTCAGTATTTCCATTAGGCTATTATTTTTGTCGTAAGCTCTGTTATTTTTGTCGTAAGGATGATGGTATAACCAACTTAACATCTTAGTATGATAACACTTTGAGCTTCTTTAAGAAGTTGCGCTAAATTGTTGCGTATAAATTGACAATAAATCAGGATGCGATTAAATTCAATTGAGAAAAATTTTGCAATGACTATTTCGTTTATTTTTTTTCTTTTACATTTTTTTTGAGTTGCGTAGTTGGATAAGATTAGATACGCTACATAACTTCGCCTAATATAATTATTTAATTATTTTCAACGATTACATTTTGTTTCCTACTAAAGCCAGTCTATTTATGGAAGGACTCGAAACGTGAACGGACAGGTTGCAAATATATTAAAATTAATCTTCTTTTCAAAGACCTAATTATTATTCAACTATGTATTGTTGCCGCGTTCTCCCTTCAACAAATGAAACAGTAGTTGGTATTAGCTTATAAAGGAGCGGTTGTACAGAAAGTGTTGCAATAAATCGTTGCAACCCACTTTGCATCACATTGCCGAAATCCTACTAATCAGCGATTCTTCTCGAGCTATTTGAAATATTGAAATTTTTTCCATAGAACGAGTGGTTTGAAAAGGGCTTTATAAGGGGATTGGTCATAAAAATGATGCAGTCCAATTCCAAAATTGTTCTGGGACAAAACGCCACGTTCTGATACAAACATATATTTTAACACTTGTAAAAATTTTTCCAATATATTTTTTTTTTTTTAAATACACTAAAAATTTTTTACACTTTAAATATTTGATAACTATAAATTATTATTAAATTTTCGATAACTGAAATTTTATTTAATAGATTTATTTGAAAATTTTATTCAATAATTTTGGGTTTGACTTTCGTTTAATTTCATTTGGATCTTATCAGATGTCTTGCTAATTGCTTTTGATTTGAATTTGCTTTGAATTTCACATAAAAACTTGCATGAATTATTATCAGTCGTCCTCTATGGATTGTAATTCCCTCTGGAATGTAATTTAAGTTTTCTGATAAGTGGCATCTAGCGGCGAATTTACTTAATTTAAGTTCCTACGAATAGCTTTCGCAAAATATGGTATCTTTATTACATACAGCTGGCGTAACTTTACCATTTGCGATTTGTTTAACTATATTTTACAGCTGGCAATGCTCGTTCTTTTCTTTTGCTCGTCCTCGTGTTGACTGTGCTGCTGAAATTTATTTGGTTTTGCATAAGGATTTAAATAAACAAATTAAAGCAGGATGAGTTTGTATAATTTTAAGAAAATAATGGTGGTTCCGCCAGCAAAGGTGAAAAAAACAAATAGTTATAATATTATTTAGTAAGCACTTGCTTACTCTAACTTCGTCACCCAGTATTTACAACTTCATATGGTATGTTTTTTTTAGGACTTTATCGACATTATGCTGTCGAAAACGCAACGTAAAACTCCAACTGTGGTTCACAAAGGCTATAAGATTTCTCGGATACGAGCGTTCTACACGCGCAAGGTGAAATACACGCAACAAAATTTCCATGATCGCTTGTCACAAATTATTCAAGATTTCCCTAAACTAGATGATGTCCATCCTTTCTACGCGGACTTGATGAATGTGTTATATGACAAAGATCATTACAAATTAGCTTTAGGTCAATTAAATACAGCCCGTCATTTAATCGACAAGTAAGGAAGGAATATTTGCATCTTATCTAAACTGGCTGAAGAAAACCTATTAAAATATTTTTTTATTTTTAGTGTAGCTAAAGATTATGTGCGCTTGTTGAAATATGGTGATTCTCTGTATCGTTGCAAACAATTGAAAAAAGCTGCGTTAGGTCGCATGGCTACTATTACGAAACGTCAAGCTTCCAATCTAACATATCTGGAACAAGTACGCCAACATTTGTCACGTTTGCCTACGATTGATCCTTACACGAGAACGATCATTATCTGTGGCTTTCCAAATGTAGGCAAATCTTCATTTATTAATAAAATTACAAGAGCCGATGTTGAAGTGCAACCTTATGCTTTTACCACAAAGTCCTTATACGTTGGTCATATGGATTATAAATATCTAAGGTGGCAAGTAAGTAAATAAGTAGAAATTTGGAAAGATTTTCTTCGATTTCTTTAACTTTTGCAGGTTATTGATACTCCTGGCATTTTGGATCACCTTTTGGAAGAGCGTAATGTCATTGAAATGCAAGCCATTACGGCTTTGGCCCATTTGCGTGCATGCGTTTTATACTTTATGGATATATCCGAGCAATGTGGTCATTCTTTGGAAGAGCAGATAAAACTGTTTGAAAATATTAAACCTTTATTTAGCAATAAACCTTTAATCATTGCTGTTAACAAAATTGATATTCTTGGAGTCGATGATTTGATGAAGGAGAAGCGTGAAGCTATTCAAAAGCTGGAAGAAGATAAAACTGTGCCGGTTATGTTCTTATCTACAGTAAATGAAACAGGCGTTATGGAAGTAAAAATGGAAGCTTGCGAACGTCTACTATCCTACAGGGTGGATCAAAAAATGCGCACCAAAAAGGTAGACAATATACTTAATCGTTTGCACGTCGCTATGCCAGCTCCAAGGGATGATAAAGTTCGTGCTCCTTGTATACCCAAGCAGGCCTTAGTGCGTTTGGAGAAAAATGCTGCGAGAGCTGAACGCAAACGTAAATTGGAGAAAGAAATCGAAGAGGAAATGGGAGATGATTATGTTTTGGATTTGAAAAAGAATTATCACGATATACCGGAAGACGAGCGTTACGATATTATTCCAGAATTCTGGGAAGGTCATAATATTGCCGATTATATTGACGAAGATATATTCAAGAAACTCGAGGAGCTTGAACGGGAGGAAGGTCTGCGCGAAGAGGGTGGGGTTTATCAGCCACCTGATTTATCTATGGATGCAACATTGAAAGAGATTCGAGAAATGGCTAAGAAGATACGCGCTAGGCGTTTCGATTTGCGTGATGATAAGCGATTGGCTTCTAAGAAGAATAAACCAGCTATGCCGCGCCATAAACAAGCTAAAGTGCGAGATCGTTCAGTGACAAAATTGCGCGAAACTATGGAAAATCTGGGTGTAGACATGTCTGGCACCGAAAACGCTAACTTCACTAAATCGGTAGTTGATTTGAGAAGAGGCTTAGTACCAGTAGGCGCCGGAAAGAAAGTAAGCATTTTAAAGAAACCTCTGCTAGACAAAGAATCTTCAGCCATAGTGAAAAAGACCGGTCAGCCATTGAAACGCAAGCCGTCGCGCGACAACATGGGTGTTAAAAATGTGGCCATGAAAAAGAAATTACAGGTTATGGCCCGCAGAGACATTGCTAAGAAGGTTTCCCGTCTATGTTTGAAAGGCGAAGCCGATCGCTTCATTGGTACTAAAATGCCAAAACATTTGTATGCTGGCAAGCGTGGTGTTGGCAAAGCAGATCGACGTTAATACGGCAAAAGCTTTAAGATCGACTTTATTGTTCGTTCTTTTTTAAAAAAAATTTTTTTTTTATTTAATAAACGAAATGAAATTTATATTAAATTTTATGGAAAGTTTGTTTTGAAATACGATGTAAGCATGTAATGAATTGACATTGCAAAGCTTCAGTAGTTAGAGGAGCTTGAAAACTGTGCCGGATCCCCAAAAAATCTTAGCACACCGATGACGTGCACCTATTTCTGCTAAAAGTGAGAATTTTGGGGAATTGACACGATCACAAAAATTGTGATTGAATGATGATTTTTGGAGTGGACATTCCTTAAACGATTAGCGGCCCGACTTTCGAAAACGGTCCATATACATGCCCACAATATATTAGAAACTTGGAGAATCTTGAAAAAACGCCGACAGTTTTTTCTATAATTTCTCCTATAACTTCCGATTCGTGAAGATATTTCAGAAAACGTCGGGAGTTCAAGTTTTTTCCAAGCGCCATCAAAGTCAGCAACTTTGGTTACTATGTCACGGACAAGTTCAAAATAGTATTACTTAAGGTAGCGAGCGATTTCAAGCGACCATCCTCCTACACGTAGAATCTTCTCCTCTATTATAGTCATGGGAAACGTTAGAGCTAGTACACGATGTCTTTAAATAATGAAGTATGTTGTTTACCGTTTAAAACCACAAACCACTTTCTAAGTGCAATTACGTGACGTAAAATTACATAAACAAGACTGTATAAAAGAGAGAAAGTAAGAAGTTCTTTCTATGACACAGTTTAGAACAGTTCAAAATTCCTTAAGTAAATTGTGAAATGCCTAGTGATCAGTCGACAAGTAGTACGAACTTTAATTCCTTCGTTAAAGGACCCAAACATATGTTCAAATTATTGGGCATCAAACTGCAAAAGCAGGGGAACTTAATCTCTACAGTGTATACTGCTTTCGTAGTGATTAGTGCAACCATTGTCGCAATACTGCAACTGTGGCAGATTCTGACTAGCGACACTTCAGACCCTCACCGTGTGCAAAATGTAGTTTTCATAACGTATTTTACAGTGGGTCTGGGCAAGATTTTGAATATCTTATATCGTCGTTCAATTTTGATCGAATGTTTATCGGAATTGGAAGAAATCTATCCCGATAAAGAAATGGAACGGAAGTACAATCTCGAGCATTATCTTAAACGATATAGGAGGGCCGAATACTTTTTCTGGAACTTTGCTATGTTTCTTATATCAGTTTATAACTTGGAGACTATTGTGCGTTCATTCTTGCAATTGTACCTTACGGGCCGTTACGGTTATTTGCTGTTAGTCCGGATTTACACACCGTTTCCTTACGATGGCAAGCTATTGGTCTACCTTTGCTATTTTACTTTGGGAAGCATAACTGGTGCTTGGATTGCCGTTATTATTGCCGCAACTGATTTATATTTACTTGGTTGCGTTTTACAATTGTGTTTGCATTTCGAATTGTTGACGAAACAATTAATGGAATTAGATACAAGGATATTGACTGAATCGGAAGCCATTAAAAAATTAAATGCTATCGCAAAATATCAAAGTGAGCTGATTAGGTAAATATATCTTTTCGATGAAGCTGTTAGTTAGTGATTGATTAATTTCTTCAATATAAACAGATTGTCGCGAAAAGTTAATCGAACGTTTTCTGGCTCAATGATAGTCAGTTTATCGGCAGCTTCGTTCATCATATGTTTTTTGCTTTTTCAATTGCTAGGCGACGTTCAGCTTGTAGATATCGCTATGGTTCTGATTTTGTTATTAAACGAGAGCAAGCAAGTATTGCTTATCTGCTATTGTGGCGACAAACTTTTGATTTCGGTGAGTATCTCCCTCCTAAACGCAATTTTTCAAATTCAATGTTTTGCTTACGTAACATGCAGGAACTTCATGTCCGTGATGTCTATTGCAAATTGGCATTATACAGGAAGATTACCAGGAAAGATTACAAATTTGTCTGGTCTGGTGGTTCTGTTATATTAAGAACTTCAATCTGATCTCTCTTTTTCGCTCCTCCAGCTCCGACAGCGCGGAAATAACCAACAACCGCTGTATGATGAACAGGATATTAAATCGAGATGTTATAAAAATAACAGAGTGGGGTCAAGCTAATAGCGTGAAATTTAATGACACCAAAACATAGTGCTGCCTTTTAATCATTTATCATTGCAAATCATAGGCCAAAGTAGGCCGTAGGCAGGGTTGGATAGAGAATGACTTTATGATCTGCCCGATCGATAAGTAGGTTTTGTCCATATGTTTACTCCTATAAGGGGAAAGCACGTGCATTTCTTTCTGTAAGGCGTGTTCGTGGGGCAAAAATTGAAAACTCCCCATGTCTACGGAACAAGCTAGTAGCGCAATGACACGTTTGTCTGTCTCTACCCCCGATCTTCTTCAAAAGGCGCTCAAGAGTAGCCCTGAAAACAATGAAGTCAGTAGTTCGATAGGTAGACAGGGAGAATTTCCAGGCATAGCCGCCACATAACAAGTGGCTCCCAACTTGGGCCGTCGAAGAGTTTAAAGGTGCAGTCAAGGGACTAAGTGCTTATAAAAAATGCTTCTCTGCAGCCGATATCCGTACAATTTATACCACCTATGTTCAAAAGTAGTGTACAGTTCGAATGTGTGGGCTTGCTTGGAAATGCTCGATCGAATACAGCGGCCGATTCTCTCGACACTCTCGAGCAACGGCGTAATGTGGGCTGCGTAGTGCTTATCCACAACAAGTACTCTACAGAGATAAAAGAGAGTTGTTTGAAAATTAAATCCTTTAACAGGATCACAAAGCCTTCTCGGCGTTCTCACCCAGTCGTCCTGCAAATGCACGGCACTCTAGTCCGCTTCGTCATTCTTGAAACACACTGCGCCCCTTTGGAACAATGTACCAGCAGATGTCTTCCCCGCCGCGCCTAATGTTTCCACTTTTAAAAGTACACAAACACTATTCTCTCCTTCCATCCTGCTCTACCTAAAATCCTTCCTGATCGTTATCGTGTCTGCACACAAATAGGGAACATCCCCTGAGTGTCTGTTCATGCCCAAAAGGAAGTGTTCATTACGTACGACATTGGCATTATACTAGCGTAGCAATTAGGAACCCAATATGAAATTATTCTTATATTTGCTCACTTTTTCGATTATTTACTTAAACAGAGTCAACGCTTTAACGAGAGTCTTTATATGCATAACTGGGTTGACGGTTCTGTGCGCTATCAACGTCATCTATTATTTATGCTTTTGTACGCACATAATCCAATTATGTTGAATCTCTTAGATATAACCGATATAACATTAGTCACATTGAAGGAGGTAGTAGTAGTAGTGGTAAAGAAACTAAGTGAACCTGTTTAAAAATGTTTATTTTTTTAATAGGTTTATGGTGCTGCTTATCGTTTTTTTACCGTTCTGAAAACCGCATAGACCGAGAGATGAAGCTGCGTATCCTGGAAACATGGTCACAAGAAACATATTCGATTTCTTAGCTTTAATGATTTAAATGATTTGGAAAACCTGTGCAAATGTTAGTGTTGTTTAAGGTTTTATTAAATGTTTTAAAGAATCCGTAAAAACTAACTGAAGATATTGTTAAACACTTTTTATATATATTGTAACTCCTGTTAAGATATCCCAACTCACCTTTTCTTTGTTGCGGTTATGTCATTACGATTGCGTTTCGTCTAATATTTTAGTTGACAAAGAGGTTTTCATCTTTGACTACTGCCCGGATGAATATATCCTCCAAATTTTTATTAAAGTGCCTTTTGGATATAGCAAGTTTATGGTCTTTATAATCGCGCTTGAAAGAATCGTTCGAGACCACGTCAATAAGTGAACAGTTGACCATGCGAAATAATGGATGAACCGGTCCTAGTATTGGAAATAAACTTCGATTTAGGGAATATTTAACAAAAAGATGAATATCCCATTTTGGTAAGATCAGAAGGGCTCAAGGTGGACATCCCTTTTACTGAGCTTGGCCGTCCGTCTAAGTTTTGTCCACGAATTTTTGCTTTCAATCTACAGCTCGCAGTTTTTGAGATGTGTTCATGAAATTTGGTACTTTGACCTAAAGACGATTGGGGCCGGTTCGCTTTTTCGACCATTCACCTTATAATGCTTTATTTTGAAAAGTCGTTGTATAAAAATTAATTGCAATTTCCAACATTTTTCGACCAAACCTTCTGAGTAATAGTGCATTGATATGAAAAATATGATTCGCCTGAAGCCCGAAAACTGAATCTTTGTATCTTTGAATCTTTTGATGGTTAATGTGCTGTGATGAAAATTTTTTCAAAACAACAATTTGACATAAGAATTAAGAAAGATTTCTCATGAATGGTAAACCTTTCAGGAAAAGTTTTCATTTTTTATCTTTTATGGTCATACCAGCAATTTAGCAAAAAAATTAACGGGAATTTAGATGAGGTAGCTCTTTTTTTTGGACCTTAACACACATAAGGGTTATCATGAAAAGCAAGCGCTTATGTGAAGACAAAGTCTGCTATCTTAATCCTTATTACGGAAACTGAAACACAAGAAGTTTTTATAAAGTAAAGTAGTAATTTGCTAAATTCGGATGAGGACATGCGGTGTTTTGGGCTTCCGCTAATATGCGTGTTTTCATGAAAAGTATACATTTACATGAAAATAACGTGCAATTGTTAAGGCATTATTGCCAAAACGAGTGAATGACTGTATTACAATGGATCAGTTTCGGCTATCTAATGGACTATGATGGTACTCCTTGATATTTTTTAGTTCCCGTCATAAAAACTAGAAATTACACTTTATCTATAAGTATTTGCTTTTCACGACATGTCACGGTTCTAAAAATGGACCTACAAGATCCAAATTCGGTACAGTTACTTTCTTTGTCAAGTTACTATTATGAGTCAATTTCCACCATGAAATATATATATATAAGTAGATCTCTTTACCACATGAAGATTCACTTTTCGTAGGAACAGTTATATGAGAGGGTATTCAAAACATTGCCCAAGCTGAAACCATATTTTTCGTATCGTTTTAGGCTGTCATAATATATATACTTTTACTCGGCGAGTTTTGTGCCAAAATTTTAAAATTTGCAAGATTTTTTCATATAATGACTTGCTTTCAATAGCGCGAATTCTTGGGTCAAAGCACTGGGTCACTGTATCAAATATCATCAAAACATTTCGAAAATTGCAGAAAATACTTGGAGAGACATCGGATGCACAGATGGATAGACGAACTTAAATCGATTCAAATTCATTTTGTGAAAGGTGGGTCTATCTTAAGCCGTTCTTAGTGTTACATATGACCGCATAAACCTAATAAACCTTGTACCACAAGTAGTGTGGGGTACAATGAAAGCACAAAGATTTTTTAGGAAAATATTTAAGCGATCCATCAATATTTTCCTTATGTAGTCAATGCATACTTGCCAAATCTCTAGGCAACCACGTTTGTTTCTTTTTTCTAACATTAATATAAAGAAAAACTACCTAATTTTCGTCCGCCATGTCTAAAGCTACCACAATTAAGGAGGCGCTTAAGCGCTGGGAAGAACGTGAAAAACAATCTGCCGCCCAAGCGAAAGTAATCGAGTTACAATTTCAATGGCCGCCCATAGAAAAAATGGACAATACCTTGTCGACATTGGTGAATTGTGAACGTCTCAGTTTGTCCACAAATATGATAGAAAAGATATTTGGTTTGAATGGCATGAAGAGTTTACGCGTCCTTTCATTGGCGCGGAATTATATTAAACAAATTTCCGGTTTGGTAAGAGTAGAAGCATTTAAATGATTAAAATGATCTCATTTAAAATTTATCTTCAGGAAGCAATAGCAGAAACATTACAAGAATTATGGCTTAGCTATAATCTCATAGAGAAATTGAAAGGTTTATCCACTTTAAGGAACCTTAGGGTGCTGTATATCAGCAATAATTTAATAAAAGATTGGACAGAATTCAATCGCTTACAAGAGTTGCAGGCTTTGCAGGACTTGGTGGTGGTAGGTAATCCCATATCTGATGGTATGGACGAAACGACTTGGCGTTTGGAGTGCATTAAACGTTTGCCGACAATTAAAAAATTGGACGGTGAGCCTATAGTTATCAACGAAGAACAAACGCAAATGTAAAGTAAAGCAAATTTTTAAATGTTTTCAATTCTTCCAAATTGTTTTTAATTGCTTTAAAATTACGTAAAAAAAAAAAGAAAGAATTATGTCTATTAAAATTTAATAATCTACTACCAATTCAATGAATTTGTTATGCAACAGCAGTAATTACAAAAGCTTTAATTGTTGTGAAGGTGTCAAAATGTTTTATATATATATATCCAACATATTTAAGTACTAACCGCAAGGAGACTTCGGACAGTGTTTTTCTTTGAGATTCCTAATCGAAATCGTACAACGGGCGGTTGCGACAGTTTAAGAAATGGTGGATATAAAAGATTTGCAGATACATCCTGAGGTGTTTGAGAATCCTTTAATAATTATACACTTGAAAAGCATGCTTCTATACGGTTTAATTGTTTCAACGGAGCAGAAGCATAAACGTTTCAGTTTGAGACGTGGCGCTGTGTTTACGATATCATTTGTAATATCGTGTGCGTTGATAGTGAGTTTAACAAAACATATATAGATCTATAAACACACATATACCGAAAATGATTTCAAAAACAATTTGAAATCAATTTGTACACCTATCACTATCAGCACCCAAGAGAACAGAGAATGAAATTCGAAGGTGATTTTAGCATGATCGTCTGTCCGTCTCTCTGCGCTAAACATTCTCGTGGTCGCAACAATGAATATGGAAAAACATTGGCAATCATTGCACACAGGTTGATAGTGAAAGTGGGCCAAATTCGCAAAGTACTTGTCCACAGTAGAATTGAGAACAACTCGGTTTTCTGAATTTTTTGCTCATTACGCATAATCTGCGACGATATAAACAGTCATTTTTATTTTGCAGAAATAGAAAAAAGCTGCCATGCCTACGCAATACAGTTTCGTATGGAAATTTAGTTTTTGGCTCTGTTTTTTAGTCTTTTTTAGGATAATAGTGGTGGGCATAGAAGATTCGGTCGCAGCCGAATACAATTTTGTTACTTGCTTTTTTTATTTTTTTTTCCTTAAGTTCATAAAAGTTTCCCGGGGCTTTGAGAGTTTGGCAGCAGGTGCTACCAGTTGTGCTACTGCTTTTCTTTATTTATCAACTTCGATAACGATAGTGAATGCATTTTTTCAACGAGCAAGTAAGCAACAGCAAGTAAGGTGATCGTGTTCAAAATAATATGACTTTGTTTTGATTGTGTGTCGCAGGAGTGGTGAGAATGTGTACCTTTTTGCATGAAGATATTAATAAATTAATGGAGTTAGCCGATGAACGTGAAAAGAAAATGTTCGCTGATACAGTGAAATATTTGCGTTACGTTACTGTAATCTTATGGACGCCTTCAGTTTTAGCTGGCTTTATAGCTTATGCTGATTGTTTTTATCGCACAATTTTTATGCCGGAAACAGTGTTTAACATACCACAGGTAAAGGAAAACAAGCAAAAACACTATAGCCACCATTAAATACCCTACATCACCTCTCTTAATACAGTTATTCATACAATAACTTTTCGAAATATGAAGTTTTCTTGAAAGTGGTCGGGAAAGTGGCTCGATCCGAAGCATTTTCAATATTGTTCGTCCTTGGCCCATAACACATCAGCGTACCAAGTTCCATCAATATATCTGAAAAAGTGCGTTTTGTACGTTGAACACAATAAAACAACACGGACAGACGGTTAGACAGACAAGTTTAGTGGTATAATAAAAGGTGGATCTATCTGAGGCCGTTCTGTGTATTGCGTACTTACAAAGTACGAGCTTAATATACCCTTGTGCTATATATGATGTAGGGTACAAAAATTCAGGTTTTCCAACTCACCGAAAACATATTTTAAATCTACATTAACGCTTTATTTATGCAAAGGTCTTAAGAGGCGAAGCCGAACCTATACTTTTATTTCAACTTTTCCCTTTCGGTGAAGTTTATGATAATTTTCTTATCGGCTACTTAGGCGCCTGCTATGCTTTATTTCTGGGTATTACCACTATACCATGCTGGCATACATTTATCACTTGTCTGATGAAGTATATTGTTCTTAAGTTTCAAATTATCAACAAGCGTTTGAAGGAAATGGATGTAAGTAACGACAGTTCATTTGCCGTGAATTGAAGATTTAATTGGTTTTCATTTTTCTCTCAGATATCAAAACTATCTCCCAACTTTAGCTTGCAACTCGATATGATCGACAATCTAAACGAAAATGACTTGAATTATTGGCGTTTGAAGATGTGTGAGTTTTGCGTTAAAGAACAAACCAAAATAAAGTGGTGAGTAAAGAAATAGAGAATTTCCACAATTAATTAAATATATTAAATAAGTAGGCAGCAAAAATTTCTTCCATATGCTAATAAGCAAACAATACAAAAACAACAGCTGGTAAAATCAGTGAAAAAACTCATCTATAAATGCATTGATGAAGTGTTTCAAGAAAATCCACAAAATCTACTTAGCTTACTTTTATTCTTATGTGATAATATTTTGTTTTTTTTTTGTTGGTTAAGCGTTTACCGTTTACCTGGCAAATTTGACCTGTCCTTCAATCTTTCGATATTAACCCTTGAAGAATGGGAGTGTGTTTATTTTATCGAAACGGCTATAATACAAGGAAGGAACGTTCTGTGAGGAGTTACAGTCGTCGTACGTTTTGACCTCACTTGTCCACTGTCTTAGAGGGGGAGTGCTAGATTAAGTAAGGACAATAAGTTGTATTAACTTGACATGGCAATCGAGGGATTACGTTAAGATTGGCAAAAGACCGAGAGGCAGAGAGTTTTGCAGCCAAAGCGTCGACATTGTTTATTTTCCCTAGAATATAGGGTAGATAATTATCCCAAATTCCCTATAGCTTTCATGTGAACAGTGGTAAGGTGAAATGAAATATATTTTTTTATACCGAGAGAAAGCTTGTTTGGGATAAGGATTACTTTTGACTAAAGAAAATGTAACTAAAAACAGGAAGCCTGGGAACCAGATAGCTAGCTAAACCCGGCACCAGATAATCCGCATATTGCCGCCTCACAACTCTTATAAGCTCTACATATATTTTTGATCAGCACCAAATCCTGAATAGATGGACACATGACTGCCCTTTCGTATGTGCCATTCTGGATCTGCTCATCCTAATCTTTCTCACAGTCGCCTAAATTAAGCAAATTCGTTGGTTGGAAGTTTTTCTAGATGGTTTAGTATAAAAAATTGGTTCAAGTCGATCAAAGGGACAACGCACTTACAGCATAACACAATCTGGCAAGACTTTTGGCCTTTTACTCCGTACACGGATATAATGACACAAATGAAAAAAAACGTTTCGCGGCTATCCAATATTACAAAGTTACGAAATCTCATTGGTTTGTGTTCTTTTTTAAGATAAATCTCGTGGATATGAAAGACTTGACTGTAAACGAATATAGTTTTCTTACTTGACTCCCGGTGGTTTTTTTATTCTATTTTTTATCGAAAGACGGGTGTCGTATTGCTGGAGGCTTTCGTACGGTATAATATCTTGTATCGCGTTTAACGCGATTGTGTCAAAATAATGATGACAGCGGGTTATTCTCATGTCTTTTTAATTTATTACGCATCGTTCTCTTTCAGTTTACTCAAATCTTTAATAGTTTGTTCCTTTAATTTCCCCCTCGTGTACATTTGCAAGCCGCTTAAACCTTCAAATATTGAAGTTACGTGAACCAAACTATCTGGGCTGGAAAGGATATTGGATATTTTAATCTATTTTATTTCTGAGAGGAATATTTCTAATACCCTTGATGTGGAGAAAGGGGAATAAATATTTCCAATATTTACATTCTAACAAGTGGTCGCTCATTTACTTACTCTCTAAATTAACAAAATTCGAAGTTCGCTCATTCACTTCTCCGCTAAATTAATAAAATTCGAAGTTCGCTCATTTACTTCTCGTCTAAATTAACAAAATACGAAGTTCACTCATTTACTTCTGCTCTAAATTAACAAAATTCGAAGTTCGCTCATTGACTTCTCCGCTAAAGTAACAAAATTCGAGGTTCGCTCATTCACTTCTCCGCTGAAGTAACAAATTTCGAAGTTTGCTCATTCGCTTCTTCGCTAAAGAAACAAAATTCGAAGTGCTTTTAGTGTTTCTTTTTTAAGTCGAAAGTGGAATAAGAATTGTGTTGTTACCATTTTAAAAAGGAAGCATCCCCTGAGTAATTATTCAAGCACGTTACATCATGTTGTTGAGTCAAATCTTTCTCTACCTTACGTAGTATTGCCTTCACGGACAGCTGCCAAGAGGAAAGCGGAAATAATTTGACTTCCTTCGAAATTAGATTGGCGCTGCCAATCATCCAGAGTGATGTTCGAAACCAATTATTTCTATTTCGAATTGCTTATGCTTTAATTCCTAAGCTATCTTGTCGTCCGTAAAGTAAAATATACTTATATATAACTATGTGTGGGATCAAATCGAATTCATGACTTAAGTTCTCATAATCTTAATGAACACAAATAGCACTTTTTATCCGTACATCAGCTATAATTCAAATTAAATATATGCTCAGAGATATTGAGAGGCGTTTTTATAAATGAAAAATTTCTTTCAAATGACGTTTCAAAAATTTTTTATAGAATGACAATTTCAAATATCGTAGAGTTGCTACACACCCGTCGTAGGGTTGACGCTAATGAAGCACTAAATATAGGCCTTGTCAATCGTATGGTGGCTACAGGCACCAATGTAGAACTTAATTTGTGGAAACAAACACAATCACAGGAACTTAAGGTTTTGTGCTTTTTCTCTTCTCATTCTAATCAAAGTGGCAAAGCGTATTCGCAATAGATATCCTTTTTATTTGTTTTCTTTCTTCTTCTTTTTGCCTTTTAGGGCTTTGTCGTCAAAATTTAAAACTACTCACACCGCCCGGCGACATTTTGGTACATAACGGCGATGTACTGACCTCTTCGATTGATTGATTTGTCGATCATTCATTATGTATATCATTATCTCTTAGGAAAAAATAATAAATACGGTGATAATCCTTGCATTCATTTCAATGGTAGAGTAGCACTTTTCTAGATTAAAAAACTTGTTCTATTTTCGGATTGGTGTATAAATCGTCTTCGTCCCTAGTAAATCAATCGTGATTGCTTAGACAAGTTAAGTATGTAATTCAATTTTTCTTATATAATCAATCTTACAATTCGTTTACAATATGCAGCTATATAGCTGTCATTTTGTAAACAAATATGTATATATTCATATTAGGTGGTTGTATGTGGCATGTATTTTGATAGGTTTTTTCATTTGAAGGCTTTTATTGAGAAAAGTTGGTACAATGTATATTAATCAAAATATTTTCGATCGTTTTCTACAACTTTTTCCCATCTTTCTGGTGGCATGTCGATATCGGGGTGAAAGAATGATATTGGTTTGACGGCGATCCAATCATCGACCCATTTCAAACTTCTCCACGTCTGGCGAGCGCAGTGCGTGTGACAGAACTTGTCATTCGAGCTGCGACAGTGTATCCTAGAGACCTCTTGCAAGATGTGGCTAAAAAATGGCATTTTTCAGTCAATTCGTGTCACCGCTTTTAAACCGTTGAAACCAAAGCCGACAATTGCGATATGATGGAGGAGCATCGCCATAAGCTTCTAAACGTCTTTGTTGGATTTCGGCAGCATATTTTTTCGAATAAACAACAAAAGCAATGAAGGTCGAAAACGTCATTTTGAGCGCTCTGGGCGATGATTGTCGGCATACGCTGAATAAATCAATAATTTTATATCGAAAGCGGTAGTGTAGAGAAAGGTGAAAATAACCGAATTTAAGCATTATGTGAATTTAAGCATTATTTGCCCTTGCGTTATAATTTTTTGGCTGTAGAAGTCGCCTATCAAAATATTATGCAGCAATACACACGACCACCAAGTGGAAATGAGCTCAGAGATATGGAAATTAAAACGTTGAGTTCTCTGGCCATTTCGGACATACGTAAGAATGGCTTGATACCTATTCCTATCTAGCCTTTCGAAAGATTGCTTTCCCAATTGCCGTGCTTTACTTTAAAAATATCTTAAATGCGTAGGTAGAACTTAAGAACGTAGGGAACCACATAAAAATAATTGAAAGGTTTATGAAGGACCACAACTAACTTGTGACGTTCCTTCTCACTATCTTCGCTTGGCATAAATGAATAAATAAATAAATGACCAAATAGTTGCTTATTAATGTAGGAAATATTTTCTCTTTTCTTTTAATTAAAGGTTTGCCAATGAAATTCAGGCTTTGATACGTATACCGGTATTTCTAGATTTCATTATTTTCTCTGTATTAATATGTTTCTTATTCTATGCCTTAACAACTGATGTAAGCTTTTCACTTCATTTAATTATCTCTTTTACATTTGAAAGCATGCAATTAATTATGTCATTTTGTACTTTAACAGAATCCTTCAAAAATGGATTATTTCTTTATGCTCATCTATTTATTCGTTATGGCTTCAATATTATGGCTTTATCATTGGCACGCCACATTAATAGCTCAATGCGTAAGTATGGGAACAAGAGTAGCGTGAACGAAAACTACATTTGCCTTAAGATGAATTTTAAATACCAAACATTTTAAGTGTATCAAAACGCACATAAAAAATCGCATGAAAACTGACCGCACAAAAACATTAAAAATCGTCGGTCTTTAATATCTGTTTTATCTGATTATTTTAAGAATAAAAAGCCGAAGATTCTCCGCTTTGCAGTTAGTACACAGAATTGTCGAATGTGGCAAATAACCTTTTGGTCCATGGCCTAGGAAATACCCAACATTTGAACTGCTCACATACAGAGCATAGAGGAATAATCATATCGATGCAAAGAATGCAGTCCGAGCATTGTGAAAATTCTCTTTATATCTTGATCTGTTGTTGTTTTTCGCAAACTCGCTAAACGATGTAACCACATTTCGCATGCTTTACGACAGTGTACCTTGTGCCTTGAGAATTTTGATTTGAATATTAAAAACGTATCCCCCTATTTCGAGCGCAATCGCTGATTGATCACTAATCGTGAATGCTTCTGCTAACGGAACGGTAAAAACGGCCTTTTTTGTATTCTCATGCTTAAGCATAGGTGTGAAAACTATTGAAGACGTGATATATTTGTAATCTACTTTTCAGCAATTCACTGAACATTTATTTTTTTTGTAATAACAGAGTATGTTGCAATGTCATAAGGAGAACGATAATAATTGAAAGCAAATAGAAAAGAAAAATGTATAGGGAATGGAATAAATGGAAAAAATACTTGGAATATTTTTATGCAAATTGATAGAAAATAATATAAATAACAAAAAAATGTTTTTTTTTTTTTGTTAATATTTTATTTATTAACCAATTGCACTAAATTGCAGCTGTAAAATAGTTAAAAATATGAAATATTAAAAAACGAATAAGAATTATTATATTAAATAAATACATTAATAGCTTGCATTCAGCTTGTGGCACAGGATGGGTATATTAAGTTCCTCAGGACGTACGTGACACCGAAAAGGACTTGAGGTAGACAAATCTTTTATTATGTCAATCAATTCACAATCATTTTAAGCCTGTATGACCGTCTGATGCCTTTTATTATATTGATCGAATCATTTGCCGAATAATTTCTGAATCGTGTTGTCGGGCTTTTGAAAAAGGTTCGGATCGGAGCACTTTTTCGACGACTCATTTCGATAAGTAGCTTTATTGAAAGATTGTCTAATTCTGAGAATCTTCTGGCAAAACCACTTAATAATAGTGTTTCGGCATTCTAAATTGATGCCAAAACTTTGGATCGAATGGGTAAATTTTTAGCACTCCTTAGCTATCGTAAAAGCCTTTCGTAAAAGGGTCTAATTTTCAATACTTCTTGATGGACCATGTAGTTTCATTTTTTGGATCCCACCCCATATAAGAGTCATAATGAAATATAAGCCTTTATATTTCAAAAAGGGCTAATTTTTAATAGTTTATGAGGAAAATTGGGCCCTATTACATTAACGATAGGAAACTTGGATATGTCAATATAAGGGCTTTCATGGCAATTGCACTTTTACGTGAGTGGCCGAGCAGACAGGAATCGCGACTACCAAGTCTATCTTCGCGGGTTCAAATCGCCATGCAGTAGAGTTTGTTTTGATCGGTCGTTATAATGATTTCTTAGTCGGTAAGGGGGCATCTATTGGGCATACACTCGAACTCCGATCGGTATTGAGGTATTCTTTCCTACGAGGACCGAGGCCTGTGGCGCCGGGGAAAAGGTCCTCGGAATGAAGGCAGGCGACGCCGGGGAAGACGTTAGTCCCCTTCATTTTAGGACATTTTCCGGTAAAAGCATATGACTGTGCAGTCACTGCCCGAACGTGCGTTGAACCATTATTGACGCTTTTGTTATTACAACTATCTGCATTTTGAGTAACTTCCGTTTGTGAAGAACTGCACAAATTGTTTAAAAATCAGTTGATGGATGGATGTAAAGTATGCATGAGCTGAGATGTTTACAAAAACTTACTCAGCGCTACTGGTAGTCTCATCCGCTGCATGAAATGCGTCACCAGAAAAATTGACACCAAAAAAACTTGCACCAAGAAAACCTACACCAAAAGAACTTACACCAAAAAAACTTACCCCAAAAAAACTCACTATACTGCGGCCTCTTCCTCGCTTTCTTCTAACCGGCACTATATTACACGTACAGGCGGCGAACCATTGGTCATAACATAAATAAAAAAAAAAAGTACATAAAAACACGCATAATTTTTGGAATATTATTAAAAAATGAATGATTGTTATTTTAGGCGAAGCTGTTTAATTATGGGTCGGCCTTGTCCGCTTATAAGGTTCATAGGTTCGAATGTGCTCATTTATTACACGCGTGTATACTTTGCAAAGTCTTAGATGAGCACATGTTCCTCGATATTATAGAGCAAAATAATTAAAATTACAACAACATTGTGAGGAGTAACAATACTGTTAAGATTGGAGGCAACTCTTCTCAAATATATATACAATGTAGAAAAGTTGATAAAGTTCCAAAATGTTGGCAGATCTGATATCAATGAATAAATTTATGCAGGAAAAATTCAAGCTTCTTATTAAAAATAGACTACGTCTGTGTTACGAAATATTTTCATAATTGTTAGCGTTTGTTGCGAACGACGAGTGAACGGCACAACATTATCTGTCTTTTTCTTTTTCTTTCTTGTAGAATGATGATCTGGGCTTTGCTATATACTCTAGCAATTGGTATGATTATCCGCTAATAGTACAAAAATCTATACGTCTCATAATGATGGACTCCACGAAGCCGTTGACAATGAAAGCGTTTCTAGTGGAATTGAATTTGAAAACATTTATTGACGTAAGCCAATGGTATTAATACGTTAACATCTTTCAAGGATTTCATGAAAATCTCTTTCGCTTTACATAAGGTGGTACGCGGCGCCTACAGTTATTTCAGCATCTTAAGGAATGCTAATCTAGATTAAACTCGCAGGGAAAACTTGAGAAGTGGCATGCACGAGCAAACAATAGCTTAATGAAATTATAATTTGCACTTGAGAATGGGCTTTGCGAAAGATGGCTACACACATACACGCGCACGCACACCCGCAAACGTTTTAAGCAAAACAATATTACTATTGCGAGTAATGGGAAATGTTCGAATTATGTTTTTGAATAAAATTTTAATCTCCTTGTCTCTATCTCTCTCTCTCTCTCTCTCTTATTTTCCTTTTTTTTAGTATATTTGCCAGACATAATATATTATACGATTTTCTTTCATTTTGCTTATGCTGTTACTCTAAGTGATATAACGTTCCTGATATGAACAGGGTTGTAAGTAAATTTCGTCTTTTTAAAATGAAGAGAGGGGACCAAAAAGAAACCATTTTATATGAAATTTTTACAATTGTAGCAAACGGCTACTTCAAGTATAATCACTCGAACATGTGAGTTTGACTATTTTGTTGATTTCATTTCGAATTCTCTTTTTTTGGTTTCCTTTAATTGCTTTAAAACCCCACAACTTTTTGATTAGTTAGCTACGCTCTAGAAATCAACTGCATTTATAACCATTATCACTTCGGTGCACTACTATTACGTACGATTAAGTGTGTGCGTATATATGGTTCTTGCAAATATACATGTATGCATTTGTTTGTGTATGCTTGAGTGTGTGTTAATACGAGTTACTAACAATGCAGATGATGACTTCTCAGTTGGTTTGGTTGGCTGGTTGGCTGGTTGGTTGGTATGTGTGTATGTGATTATAATTTGTATACATTTGATGTAAATTTAATATTTATATATAACAACAACAACACTAACAGCAACAATAATTTAACAGCTCTAGGAGCTCTGGCAAACTCTTAAAAATAAACGCCAGTAGCAACGAATTGTCAACAGCGTTTTCTTTGCTTTGCTTTTCCTTCCATTGTACAAAGAACAAGTTTATAGAATTTTTGTTTTCATTTTTTTGTTTTTTTTTTTGTTTGTTTGTTGTTGGTGTTTCTTTAGTTCTTTAGTTCATTTTACTTGCCTTTTTGTGGATTTATCACGAACGAATTACATAACGCGCAAGTAAGAGCATAACTTGTAATTGAAAAATGTGTAAAATGTAGGGGAGCGAAGCATACGTGAAGGGGAAGTGAAGAAAAGTATTTTAAGAGAAAATCGCAATAAGATGAAACTTTTTCTTTTTTTTTTTTTTTTTTTAGTTGCATTGAAAGCAAATGTTAAGAAAATATTCATTATGTCGCTGATTATGGAGTTAAGTTTTTCTGTCTGTCTGTCTGTCTGTCTATCTGTATGTTTATGCGTTAGCTGTTAAATATTACAGGCAATGCATTAACAAGAAAAATTGAAGCAAAATGCAAAAAAGCTACGAGTGTATGTGAGATAACATTATGGAGTCGCTTTATCCGCTAGAGTGCCTGGGCGAAGTTAAGTTAACATGTAAAGTTTATCTTGGCTTTTAATAACTTTCGGTTGATAATGCAATTTTTTAAAATGTTTTCATAACTCTGCTGAATTATATCTATATGTACGCTTTAAATCAACAGAGTAGAGCATTATTTTCTAGGATAACAAAAACGACGATCGAAAAAATTGTGTCAAATTTTGATGACATTTCAACTACCAGGCAAAAATATTCGTAATTTTTTTAGTTATTGTCCTTTGGGAATACTAGCTCAAGGTCAACCTTAACAATGTGGTTAAATTATGTATTGTTGGAAAAATGGTCAGGTTAGGGGTCACTTAAGAGCTGTTTCTTGGAAAATCGTATACCCCACCGGATTAGAGAATTTACGAGTTTAAATCGGAGGCTACTTATTAAGCTTTCGAACAGAACTGATCAGGAACATTTAAAAACACGCTATAAAGTACAGAGTCTGAGTGTCTACCTTTGATTGTGATTTATTGTCTTTATAGCCAAGTGCTCTTCAACGCTCAGTATAAGTATTACAAAGTAACGAATTGAGAAAAACAATTGTTCATTTTAACCGAGTCCCTCTATTCTGCGCTTACTTTGGTACTCGCGCGTCCTTATGTTTAATACAATTTCTTCTTTCTTTAGAATTTAGCGAAGCAACAATAGATGATTTGAAAATACAATTTGAGAATGTTAAGTGATTTTAAACTCTAAATATTTGCAGCATTTGACGGAGAAATTTCCTTGAAGCTTTAGCTTTGATCGGGGAACGACTAAAGTGGAAACGAAACTAATTGCAGTCATTTTTGTCGGTGCTGCCAATCGCCTATAATCATATTCGAAGTCAGCTGATGGGGCATCGAATGTGATATGCTGTTCTTTCATTCGCGCTTCTAACTGATAGGTTTGCCGTATATACTGGACCGAATTGCAAATGAACCCCTAAGCCATCGCAAGCATGCCTGGCAACCGATGATAGTTGAGAACAATTCATTTTCGAATCGTAACGACTTTTTAAGGTTAAAAGCTAATTTAAGTACGACATAGGTAAATCGCGCGTATTAAGCAATGTTGCTTTAATGGACTTTGAAGAGGCCGATAACGAGCATAAGTGATAGACGTCATTTAGGTTCTTGCAAACAGCTCTGAGCGGGCTAAGCAGCTCATAATTATATTTACACTGACTAAGCTTAACCAAAATAAAGTGCCTAGAGAAACGGTTAGGGACATTAAAGCTTATTTCACCAAGTAATGAAGGCGAGTCAATAGCACCATTTATTACTTTAATTAGAAAGGAAACGCCAAGAACAAATCTATGTTTCTCAAGAGACGGTAGGGACAGCAGAAGCAACCTATTTTCATAGGAGGGAAGAAAGGCAATCGGATCCCAACCCAAATTTCTAATTTGAATCTACATAGCACCTATATGAAGGAGACCACACAACAGAGGCATACTCGAGTATGGGTCTAACCAAACACATGTACAGCCTTTTAGTAATGTAAGGATCATCAAGCTCTTTGGACCACCTCTTTATAAAACCAAGCGCGCACTCCATTTGCTTAAAGAGAGCTCAATGTGCAAGTTAAAACGTAATCTATGGTCAAAAGAACGCCTAAGTCTGTGATCGAATCGACGTCCTCCAACTTATGCGAACCTATGAAATACTGAGTAATGAATGACTTTCTTCTTGAGAAAGAAAGCTTCTTACATTTACTCAGATTTAGTTTCAGAATATTCAACGAGCACCATGCAACAAAATTATCCAAATCACCTTGAAGCTGATGTGATTGCGATTCAACAGAGAAGGAAGAAAACAGTTTCACATCATCCGCATACATTAAGATCTGGCTGGAATTAACCACCGATGGAAGAACGTTAATGTATAAACTAAATAAAATGGGATCTGAGTGATTTTCTTGAGGTACGCCAGATATAACGGGGACTTCATAAATAAAGTTGAACAAAACCCTGAAGGATCTTCCCTTAAACGCATTCTGAGTAGTTTTTGTAAATTTTACCATTATGCTGTATCACAATTTGATGCCAAACAAATCCCTGATTCATTGCCTTCGCTTCGTGACTTCTGCATTTGGTATAATCACTTGATTTGTATTACTATAATTGATTTCCATACTAGGATGTTCAGGAAAATGTATAACATCATCGGCGAAAACTAATTCGATATTACACTAAATAAATGCTTTGAATTTTGGGATATTACTTACGGTATTTTTTTCTTAAAATATTCATTTTGCTTCAAGCTGCTGTTTTTTGCTTAATAGAATTAGTAAGATAGACGATATACCAACAAATCGGAAATTCGATTGAAAAACATATGAATTCAAAAGTAGGTATGGAAAAAACATATGAAATTGTTCACATTTCAAAAGGTGGTAAGGAAAAACGTATGAAATCAAAATTGCTCTGAATAAAGGAAATACTATTTCAATTTTATACCCTACGCCATTCGTGGTAAAAGTACGCAAGTTTGTGCCCGAACACAAAAGTACTTTAGACAAAATCATCTTTTACTATATCAATTGATTGGCAATCATTATCTCAACCGATTTAACCAAGTTGGTCCAACATGTACCCACATGATTAATTTTACAAGCTGCTATTTACTATATTTGGTATACTGAGTGCTTTGATCAAAGGCAATGGGTATTAAAAGTGAATTCCGTCCCATATGCGATTACTTCCCAGGTACCGATATGTGTTGAAGTACGGACAAGGAGTGTTAAAAGTGGACTGGGTACGAATCAGGATAACTTTTCATGTAATGATATGACAAAGGGAATGAAAAGTGAATTAGATCCGATCAATGATCGCTTCCCATGTTTTAATCTAAGGGTAAAGGACATTGAAAGGATATTGGGTCTGATCCACGATCACTTCCCGTGTATATACATGTTCGGGCTCAAACGCAAAGCTTATTAAAAGTGAATTAGATCCCTGATTACTTCCGGTGTACTGCATCCGATCCATGATCACTGACCATGCAAAGTTTTATTTAGAAAATGTACCTATACGATGAAAATCGTCCATTTTCAATATGTCTTTACAAAGGTTAGTAAAGAATAGTATTTCGGCAAGTGAACGCAAGTGAATGTGAAAAATTTGGATCGACTGGAATAATTTTTTGAAGGCTTTTCCATATAAGAATTTGTTTTTTTGTACAGCAACAGGTTCTAGAAAAAAAGAAAACCTTATTTCACTCATCCTCTACGGTCTTCGAAAAAAACAAAGAAAGAAAAAAGATTTTTCATTGATTTGAATCCGTGCCTAAGAACTTTCCTTTTCTTAATGTGATCTATATATCGCTAAAGTAATGCCCTCAAGTCGTATGACAAGGTGAGTGTCAGAAAAGAGGGAAAAATGAGAGACATGGAAGTGGCGACCCCAGCCTAGTTGGTGTCTGTCTAATCGATGCCTTTACCGACTGAGTACTCACAATAGCTACGGCCGACTTTCAAGTCGCTATTCTTGCCTACTCGGCTCCGCTGGCATTAACACGTATGTTCTTGATTGAATCCTTCTGCATGTGCAACATTCTCATAAACTAAGCTATTCAAAGCGCTGTTAGTAGAAGACACCCTCGAAAAGAACTATTGGAGGATTACATTAAT